AATGTATTAACTACAGTTTATAAACTATGAATTAACTATAAACTATTATATAAACTATAACAGTGTGCAAATGATTTGTAAGTACTTCATTAGTGTATACTTATTATAAAGTGTTACCTATGTTTTATCGGTTTACTTGCATTGAAGTACTAACTGACTTATTTATTTATTTACTAACTGTCATCAGAGAGTCATGCGAATGTGCCATTAAATTACTGAAATATTAAGTTACTAGTACTTAGTACTTCATAAATATTTTATGTCTGAGGGGTTCAGCTGACAAAAAAGTCTGGGAAGCCATGATGTAATGACATCAAACCTGGTGCACATATTTAGATGCTCCATAATTTAATCTGCAATTTGAGGAAGATTTCAAAAAAATAAAAACTTAAATTTGGGTCTGTTCCGTGCATAATTGTACTCATATGGCTTCAAAAGACTTGAAATATTGTGTACAAGATGTCTGGACTATGTTTATGTTACTTCGGAGCTTCCAGCAGCCTCACTTTCAATGTATGGAAAAGAGCAGCATGAACATTCTGCTAAATATCTTCTTTTTGCTTCCACATAAGAAAGAAATCCATCCAGACCTAGAAGTGTGAGAGGATGACCGAATTTGGGTGAACTATTCCTTTCATAATCCCCTAAACATTTTCAGCTGTGTGTGTTACTGAATTCTTTCATCCATCATAAATCATAAAGAAAACAGCTGCAAAACTGTGGTTTCTGTGCAGTACCTGTAATACTCTAGAACTGGTTGTGTCTGTCTCTCGTAGTCCTTGAGTCGCCTGGACACAGTTTCGGGACTGTCATCGTCTCTCTGGGCCAGCGGTTCTCCTGTGACATCATCGAGACCCTGTGCACAACAGGATTGATTATACAGACCACTGATTATAAGCGTAAGGTATAAGCACCACAAACACCTGATTTCACTCACACGCTAAAACTTTCAAATGTGCAATAATCATCCAATTAAAGCCACTGTATCTTAGGAATTCCTGTATTGAAAGCATCATCAATCTTCGGCAGACGCTGATAAATCCCAGAGCTAAACAGAGGTGACCTTCAGGCGCAGAGTTTAGTGTTGACATAAGCTTTGGAGCTGTATTTGAGCAACACTGACGAGCACGGTTTCACACTGGGCTAGTAGTGCTGTATTAGTTTAACACACACAACTGCTATCTTGAGGCTCATTATTTAAAATTATTGTAAAGATGACCAAACTAAAAAACCTACTTTTGCAAACTCACAGGCTTTGTGGCAGTAGACAAAAGAAAATCTTTTATAACATCTTGAATATAAACGCCTTTCCACTCATTCTTTGTTCAGTTTTACTTTCTATAAGGCTCTCTATTCTTAGTATTATATAGGCTCTATAAGGTTCTATAAGGCTCTTTGTATTATATATAAAGTACCTGAACGTTTTAAAGTAGACACATTACAATCTGTACTTGCAGATAATATTAACGAAATAAAAATCTTCATAAGTGTACTTAGAGTGTTTCTTTAAAGTGTGAAAAATGACTTTCTTCACACACTAATAATATCAAATTACAAGTTTTATTTTGATGTACATTTTAGATTATTATGTTTTAATTTTTTGTTGTTGTTGTTCTTCAAAAAAGTACATTTATTGTGATGTGTTGGCTAACACACCAAATCACATTTCAAGTACTTGATTCATAATTTAACTGTTGTCTGTTATTTGATAGTACATGTGAAGTTAATACATTTTAAACGTAGGAAATTGCAACTTGTTTAACGACATTAAAGTATATTTTAGTTTTCCATAAATGCTCGTCAGTGCATTCAGCAGTACACTTTAACCATATTTCAAAGACAATACAAGTAATTAGCATATAAAGATGTACTTAAGTTCATTTTAAGTTTGATTAACCTGCAATTAAGTGTCCGAAAACATTATATTCTTCACAAAAGAAGTTCACGCTTAAGAATATTCTTTCAAAGTATATTAATTTCATAACAAATGCTCTTTTTTAAAAGAAGCGTCCATCTTTTTCGCATTTTTTAGGCATTCTGGGTGAATTCAGTTCATTTCAGCACAAAAACCAGTAACTAATAACTAAACAATAACTACCTAAACGATCCAGTTTAACCAGGCCACGGTCAATGTTAGTCTTTTTAGTGCAAACACAGCTCCTTTATGCAAATTAGGCTAAATATATATTATGCCTTATTCACAAAACTCAACACTATTTACCTGATGCTATTAACATTGCACTATTATTACATGCAGAACACAGGTATTTTGAATTTTGTATGTTTTCTTGGAAAATGAATTTTCACAGTTTTTGCACTGAAGCGTTTTCATATGAACAGGAGTGTTCAGCTTCCTGTTTCTATTGTTTAATTATCAACCGTTTCCTGAAGTGCTGCTAAATGGGATTGTGAAGATCTCAACAGCAGCATGAGGGAATGATCTTGAATATAAAAAGATCAGCAGACTCACTGGTTTCTTAGGTGGGTTGAAGTCTATATTATAGACCCTGCCGCTGGGAAGGTGCACCCAGCGAGACGTCAGACGCTCTCGGATCGTCTGGAAAGGCACGTCCAGGTTTATAACAGAGTCCACATCGTACACGCTGTCCAGGGCCTCGGCCTGAGCCACAGTACGAGGAAACCCTGTGGGGACAGGGCGAGCACATTTAAACTGCACATTTCATCAGTAACATGGCTCAGGTGAGCGGGGTGAGAGTTACCGTCCAGTAGCCAGCTGCTCTGCTGCAGACCCCTCAGACTGGACAGGATGAGACGAGAGATGACATCATCGGGAACCAGCTGACCCTGATCGATGCACGACTTCATCAGGAG